CCCGCGTCAAATTCGCGCTGCGGTTGCCCCACTCGGGCAGCCCAGTGTCAAGCTTGCGAGCTTCTTAGTGCATCGAAACAATTCCAAATAGCTTTGGGTTCGAGGGTACTAGGGGTTCCGGGGGGGGGGGTTGAAACAAGAGCTTGTTTTGGATTCCTGCTATGTTTTCTTAAAAGCTTCATCATTCTTAGGGCCAATTGGCTTCAAGGTCTGGGGGTGTAGGGGTTTGGATTGCTCTAGCCCAAATACCAGCCAAGCTGCTGTCGACAAAGCCGACAATCTCGCTCGCCTTCGCCACGCCGCCCGCCATGAGCACCATCGCCGACGCCACCTTAGTTTGGGGGCAAGTTCATGGTGCCCAGGTCCAATCCATAAACCAGTTTTAACATTAGAAGTTGGCGTTTCCTCTAACAGGCTTTCAAAGCTAGTCTTGTGATTCAGGGTTACTCAGGAGAATCCAGGGTTTTAGAACTTAGAAGCCATTAATAATTATTAAAATAAATCTAAGTCTATTGGGATCAGGAAGGATAACATAAGCCTGGGAACCGACCATGTCCGCTGATCAACCTCCAGCTCTTCCAGGACACTGTAAAGCGCCGGCGAATGGCTCAGGACACTTTGGCGCACCTTCCAGGATTCCAGCTTAACTACTTATAGGCCTTAGACCCCTTAGCCTTGGAAAGGTGATTGGTTAAGAATTGCTTGACACCCAAAGTGCAAACATGTGTTACCCCACATATATAACCGAACCTATGCCTAAGTACTAAACCCACAACAGCAACTTTTTACAACAACACCGAGCCAGATCCGTAGCAGCCGCCGGCGCCGCCGCCGCCGCCGGCGCCGCCGCCGCCGCCTGGGAGCCCTTGGAGTCACCCTTCGTCGTTGGCATCGCCTTCGCCGGCGGAGCCGCCGCTGCTGGCGGTGCCTTCGTCGTCGCCGGCGCCTTGGGTGGGGAGTCCGCCTTAATGCCGAGCTTCCTCCCCACCTCGTTCACCGCCGCGATGATTTTGTCCTTGCCCCTCTGTGTGAGAGGGATATCGCCAACGCCATACACCCCCGTCTCACTGTGGGAGGGCAGTTCAAACTGAAGGTTGAAAAGGATCGCCAGCGCCACCGCCACGCTCGCCGACCTGTGCTTCCCCGCCGCACCTGATGAAAGGCTTAAATGACTTGAGGTTTAGAGCTCCAATGAAAATTACAGAAAAAAACTAAGAAAAAACTAGGCTGTATACAATCAGGGTGCAGATCAGCTGCACCAGCACCGGCGCCTTCCAGAGATCGCCATCGAACGCCGCCAACCCCTTGAGGTAACCAAGAAGCATCGCCACCGCCGTAATGAACGCCCGCATAAAGCCAGGCTCGTCCATCATCGCCAAGAGGAAATCCTCGTTCTTCTGAGGATTCCACTCGCCTGGGTGGGCATCCGTAGCAAATTATTAAACTTTAACCACGAACCCTCAACTGAACTCAAGCGGTGTCCCTACTCCCAAATACAAGAAACAACGTATACCTGAAAATCCAAGTCTCCCTTCACCGCCCGGGACGGCCCGGGCGACTTGGATCGCCCGCGCGTCCCCGCCGACGCCGACGCCTTCGCCTGCCCCTTCTCCTGCTCCCTGGCAGGGTCTTTCATCATTTGCCTCACGTCAAGCGACATGTGGACGTGATCCGGGTAGGTCCGCTTCAGATACCCAGTCATCATCGACCTCCCTTTTCCGCCAGCGCCTCCGCATTGAGGCCCAAATATCAAAACCCAAATAGTATAAGAATGTAGCTATTGCTTGGAGAAGTACGGTATGATGCTTATCATCCGCATAAGTCTCCACATTGGTATTGCTATTACTAGAACTATCGAAAATTCATAGTACTGACTTAAAGTTGGTATGACTTATTATTATATCACATAAGTGAACAGATTTCATAAATAAGACTATTTCTTAATCAGACTCAAGGCACCGGTCGCCTTGTACTCGTGCTCCGCCCCCCATGCTATGATGAAGCTTCCATCCGGGATCGCCGGCATGGAGGGCAGGCCAGGAAACGCCACAGGCGGCATGGCTGCGAGTACGCCTACGCCTACGCCTACGAATGCGCCTACGCCTACGAATGCGCCTACACCTGCGCCTAAACCTGCGCCTGCACCTGCGCCTACGCCTTGCGCCTACGCCTTGCGCCTACGCCTTCAACTACCTGCGCCTGCAATCGCCTAGGCCTAGGTAGCTGTGAGTGTAAGTGTCACCTTATCGGAATCAGTCGCCTAAGCGCTCATCGCCAATGCCCATGAACCTAGGAACTGAATCTGAAATAAAACATCTAAAGTCGAAGGTAAGCCTAATGATTAAAATGGTAACATGACATGTCCAAAGTCCTAAGGGCTGACGCTGAAATGTTACGGTAGCCGCACATGCCCCTCAAACCCAAATCCCTCCCGCAAATAACCCCCTACCCCAAACCCGAGTCTGACACCCGACAACACCCAATGCACACAACCCTTGACCCGAAACTCCCTAAGTGAAGCTTTAAACTCTAAACCATCCATAATCCAAACCTTATATAAACCCTTACTACAGCCTAACCCCTTTGAATACTTAAAAGCCCCCACTCTCCCCGGGCACCTCGATGTTGTCGACGGCGCCCAGCGATGGAGGGGCGCCCAGCGGCGGACCATTCTCTATTGGGGCTCAAGGTCTTAGGGCTTGGGGTTTAGGGGGCTGTTCACGGTTTACAATTCAGGGTTTAAAGGGGTTTTTCAATTTAGGGTCTAAGTACACTAACTAGTACAGGGCTTCTTTAGGGGTTCGTTGCATCGGGTTTGAATGGGGGGTTTAGGGATTTCGGGCTTCAAGTTCTACAAGCCCTAAATTCAAACCTTGCTATTAGAACTAAATCCCAATACTTGAGCCTTCAATAATACAGGTACTTTGACGCCTGAGTATGTACTGCATAGCCCGGAACCCTATTTTAAACCCCTGAAACCGTAAAACCTAAACCCTAATTGAAAGACCCCTTAAACCCTTTTTTTTACTACTGGGCTTGGGGCTAGCCAGATCCTTAAACACTGAACCTTGAACCCTAAACCCTGAACCCTCAACCAAAAGCCCCCTAAACCCCAAACCCTAAGACCTTCAGCCCCAATAGACAGGGTCTGAAATCTGAATAACAATAACAACAACTACTACTACGATTATAATTACATAAGAGTATCAGAATACAGTGCTAGTTAGTGTACTTAGACCCTAAACTGAAAAACCCTTAAACCCTGAACCCTAAACCGTGAACCCTCAACCAAAAGCCCCCTGAACCCCAAATCTTAAGACCTTGAGCCCCAAGGTCTGAAATCTGAATAATAGTAGTCATAACAACAACAACAACAACAACAACAACAACAACAACAACAACTACTACTACTACTACTACCACGACTAATCTCTTAATGACTTCTTCTGTAGTGACTTGATCCAAGGCCGGGCAAAAAAAGGCAAAAATAAAAAATGTCCGAAAGCAACACCTAGAATAGTAGCCCTATTACAGACTCTTACTGTATGGGGACCGTACCTAATGCATGCATGAGAATCCTGCTGCATATCCACTTACAAAGTCTCCACCGAGAAAACACCACGCGTAAACCGCCAAGCAAAACCCTGAACCCCAACTGGCTTACGGATTGGGGGTATAAGGACAGGGGTTAGGGGCTAAGGGTTTAGGGCTTTGCAAATCCCAAACCAAACCATGAGCTGCTCCACAATTGATGTCTAGAAGGCTCCTGCACTTGCCTGTGTCGAGTTGAAGTTTTCGGGATAGCCGTAACCAAACTACAATACTTCCAAGCCGCCTACAACTACCCGCGAACTTCGTGCTATGTGAGCACACAAAATCTTGACGCCCCAACCTCGTATACTACCTAAACCCTTGAATCCAAACTCATACATCAACCTCAAGTACGTACGGCTGATGATATAAAATCCTGCATGACCCATACTAAGGAGTATACCATGGAAACTCCGAGTCGGAAAGGGAAGTGCACGACCCTCGGGATGTGCCAACTATGTAACTATGATAAGATAGGCTTCCGGAAATCCGTAAATCCTAAACCCCGAATCCCGAACCCTAAACCCTAAAGGAGCGGAGAAAGGTGCTGAAGCAAAAACACTGACGGAGCTCAAAACAAAAAGACTAAAGAACTCTTCGAATCTGCGAGAGGATTTATATCATCACCCTAAACCCAAAACCCTATAGATCCCTTAAAGGGAACCCCTTAAAGGTACCCCTGTAGATCCCTTTAAAGGAACCCACAGGATCTATATCATCAAGCGTCGTTTACAAGAAGGGCTTAGGCTCTCCGGCCCAAGGAGCAGTATGAGTAGCACAACCCCACGTAGCGAACCAGACCTTACCCAGAGCCTCCAAACCTAGGGTTCCTTAGAGGGATCTATAAGGGATCTATAGGGTTTAGGGTTTAGGGGACTCCAAAACCCCTTAATTAAGGAATATACCTTAAATTATAGTCAGGATCCCTAATATGATTTTAAAGTATATTGCTTAGTTAAGGGGTTTTGGAAGCTCTGGGTACATCTTACAAGATCAACCCTGCATGTAGCCCAGAGGGTCCATATGTACTACCATTATGGAATTGGGTCCCAAAAGACCATCCCCATGATGGCTTTTGGGACCTAATTCCACAATGGCAGTGTATATGGACCCCCTTGGTAACCCACTGCCCTAAACCTAAACCCCAAAGCCTAAACCTTAAACGCAAAACCCTAAACCCTAAACCCTAAACCCCAAAGCCTAAACTTAAAAGTAAAACCCTGAACCCTCTAAGCCTCACACAATCAAACCCCAGGAAGCCATCCTAGCTAGAAGATGGGGGGTTTAAGGTTTAGGGGTTTAGGGGTTTAGGGTTTATAGGGGTTAAGGTTTATAGGGGTTTAGGGGTTTAGGGTTTAGGGTTTCGGGTTTAGGGTTTAGGCTGTGGGGTTTTCGCAGTGCCCAGCTTCTGCTGTGATGCCTCGCACGAAAGCCTTCAGGGGCACAGCACTTCGGTCGCACATTTGGGGAGGCAAACGGTCCTCTAAGGGCTCTATCGTTAAGGGTTCCAATATAAATCCATATTGGGTTCAGGGTCTGTTCGTGGATCAACGACAAGCTTAAAGGTTTCACCTGCAAGCTAAGGGGTCACGATCCGCTATGTTGCAGTGACAACCGGGGATACAAGACCGTACAATTGAGGAACATACCTTCGTCCCTAAAGTTCGAGCCATTCTCTTGTTTTCCATCACGAAGCCCTCTCAAAACCCTACAACACTCCATGTAACACCCCGGATGACCCTACGAACTCCGCAATCAGCAGCTTTATCAAGTCCTTATTGTAGGAATTGAGGTCCTGTACCCACCTCCCCCCTACCCCCCTAAGGTTCCCTATGATCAATCAGCAGTGGTATGTTGGGCTCTCCAGGTTGTCCACAAGTTCCTCGTCAGTGTTACGACACGACTCGTGAGGTGCCCTTGGTTTAGGGTTTTGGGCGTTGTGTTACTGTGTAAATCCGCATCAAAACCACAGAGCCCTTGATTCAGAAGTTTTTAAGCTCCCTGGACAAGCCCTGAAAGAAGCAGAGCCCTAAGCCCTCAGCCCTAAACCCTTCCTTAACCGCCAAGAACTACTGTGTCCAAAACCCCATAATATGGAAGCTTCCGAAAATAGGGCACCGTAATCTAGTACCCTAAATACTAGGATTCCTATACGGAACCCTAAACTAAGATATAAAATAGGGCACCGTAATCTAGTACCCTAAATAGTAGGGTTCTTATAAGGAGCCCTAAACTAAGGTACCCCTACTTTTCGGAAACTCCCATATAAACCGTCAGACTGCTTTAGGCTTTAGGGTTTAGGGCTTGGGGTTTAGGGTTTAATTAGGGTTTAGGGTTTTAGGGTTTAGGGCTTGGGGTTTAGAGTTTAGGGCTTTAGGGTTTAGGGTTTAGGGTTTAGGGCTGCCAGATCACCCAGATCTCCGACAGGAGCGGCGGCCAGCGCACTTTGAAGAGGGACACCTATGTTGGATGCGCGGCTTTATTTTCTTGCGGGCCGGGTTCGGGCTCCCGGCTTTACTAGGATGCCCAGAAACCTAGGAATAGAAAGGGCTCCCTTTTTGATATTGAGTAACTTTACAAACAAGAAAATAGGACTACAAAAAGGGAAAAATGGCCCACCGGGAGGCCTAGTTTCTAGACCCAAGAGTAACCCAGGCATAAAAAGGATGCCCTTTTTGGTTTAAAGGGGCTTATAAGGGAACCTGAACCCTAAAAAGGGAACAAGGGCCTACTCTGGGTCCTAGGTTTAGTGTTTAGAGGTTGAGGGCTTGAGGGTGCTTAAAGCTTTTTGTCCCACAGGGCTTGGACAAGCTTGTTACAATAGAATTTCGAAGGGTTCTATAGGCTGCTTTTTAGGGTTTGGGCCTCAGGCTGTAGGGTTTATAGTAAAAGCCAGAAAGTTGGAATATGATTATCCTAAACCCTTTATGGTAAATTATAGGGTATCCTACCTTGAAACCATATTCCAACTTTCTGGAGTTCCCTTTAGGGGTTTAGGGCTTAGGGTTTAGGGTGCAGGGTTGACAAGTTGAGGTTGTAGGGACCAAACCGAAACCGGCGTAGGTTTGGGATGCAGCCTACGCGGAATGCACGGGTAGTATACAGGGTTCATACAGCATGAAAAGCTGTGAAACTAAATTTATATGGCCTGCAACTGAAGAACAACAGAGTTAAGGCTCGGGTGGCTCTAGGCTCAAGATTTTAAGGTCCATGGTGGTGAAGCACTAAGCCCAACTGAAGAGAAACAGTCAAGGTATCCTCTTTGTCTACAGTCTGCACGTAAACCTTCACGTGTAAGCATGTAGAACCCTCAGCAACAAGGCACCCGTGCAAAACCTTTACACTAAACCCTAAACTCTAAACCCTTTAAAGGAGCCTCGAAAAGAACCTTACTCTAAACCCTTTAAAGGAGCCTTGAAAAGAACCTCACTCTTAACCCTAAACTCTAAACCCTTTGAAGGAGCCTTTAAAAGAACCTTACTCTTCAACCTAAACTCTAAGCCCTTTAAAGGAGCCTTTAAATTAACCTTACTATTAACCCTGAACTCTAGACCCTTTAAAGGAGCCTGTAAAAGAACCTTTAAAGGAACCCAGTAGATCTGCCCCCCCCCTCGGGGCCCCCACGATGCTAAGAATCTGCAGGTACTGGAAGTTCTGTGCAAGCGCTTCCTCAGCTTGCAGGGGTCAGTTAAGGGTTTAGAGTTTGGGACATAGGGTTGATTCGGGTTGATGGTTTAGGGTTGAGGGTTTGGGGTTTTGGGTTTGGGTTCCGGGTTGCGGGTTCAGGGTTTAGGGTTGGGGGTTTCGGGTTTCGGGAACCCCGATAGCACCCCTTGAGGGAATCCCTTAAAGGAACCACTTAAAGGAGCCCCTTAAAGGAGCCCTTCAACCCTTAAGAGGATCCCAGGAACCCTTGAAAGGAACCCTTTAAAGGAACCGAAAGCACCTCTTAAGGGAAATTTATGAGAGGAGCCTCAGGCTTCCTTCAATCGAAGTTTCAGGGGATCTAGAAGCGTATAATGTAGGGGCCTTAATGGAATAGGGTTCCTTTAAAGGGTTCCTTAGGGGGCTACTATAAGGGATCTAAAATACTGTTGCTTTAAAGGGGTCTAAAGGGGCTACTCTTCGGGCTATTATAAGATCTACTATAAGGGCTATTAGAAGGATTTGGTGTAGGGGTAGGGTTCCCTTTTTAGGGTTCCTTAAAGGGGCTCTATAAGGGATCTGCAGGTTCTAGAATGTAGGGGCCTTACTACTTGGAATAAGGTTTTGGGGGGCTCCTTACTGCAATTATAGTACGTCAACATGGATGGCTTAGGGTCTAGTGTCTAAAGCCTAGGCTTTAAGGTGTAGGGTTTGGCGCACAATGCTAGTAAGTTTTTCCTGGTAATGGAAAGAAGAGGGATATGAATAGTGAGACACATGAAATGGAACGGCAAGAACAAGAAGCAGAAGAAGACAAAAAAGCGACAACAACGAAAAAATGCAACAACCACACCACTACCTCCGCAAACTAGAACTCCGAACGCGCAACCCTAAGCCTTGAACCCCAACCCTAAACCGTGAACCCCAGTCCTGCAACCTGCAAACCTCTCCTCCACCCCGACGGGAAGCAAACACCCGATCTTCATGCGGCCCCTATTGAAGAAAACGAACAGAACCCAGAATTAAAAAGATAATAGATCTTAGAAACAGCTCAAGGGGTCCAAATAAATCCGAAACCCTAACCCCAAATCCACCCTAAACCCTAAACCCTACACCCTAAACCCTAGACCCCAAATCCACACCCAAAATAAACCGTAAAGCCTGAGACGTCCAAAGCCAGGAGAGGGTCCCGCAGCCCAGAGAGGGTCTGCAACACGTGCTTATTCTGCTCATCCGCGACCTGTTTTGCCAGAAAGCATTCTCAGGCTTCGCTTTCAGACCTTGGGGCCTGTGGAATGGCTATATCGTAAGCCCTAAACCCGACCTCGTGAAGACTCTTGAGGCTCCAAGGGGGTTGGGGTTTAGGGTTTAATGAATGGCTGTGGGTTCCGCTTTTAGGATCAATGGGGCTCCAAGGGGGTTGGGGTTTAGGGTTTAATGAATGGCTGTGGGTTCCGCTTTTAGGATCAATGGGGCTCCAAGGGGGTTGGGGTTTAGGGTTTAATGAATGGCTGTGGGTTCCGCTTTTAGGATCAATGGGGCTCCAAGGGGGTTGGGGTTTAGGGTTTAATAGTTTGGGTTCTGGGTTTAGGATCAATGAGGCTCCAAGGGGGTTGGGGTTTAGGGTTTTTTTTTGAGCTCCTTCTTTTTCCAACTGCAGTTATCCCTTGGTCGGAAGGCCCCATGGGCCAGGAGGGGGGTTTAGGGTTTGTGTTGAAAACGCTCCAGCATGTCAGTGATCAGCACTTGTAGTTTGCAGTTGTGGCTAGCTTTCAGGGCCCTTGTATAGCTGCTAGGTACCTGTAGTCTGCAAGTGTTTGTGCGCTGTTATGCTTCGGCTCGTAGGGGAAGGCTAAGAAAGGTAAGCCTCTTGAGCCATGTGTACTGTAACCAACAACTTGTAAAGCTGTACTGGTCGTTTGTTGGTTTGTCGGTTCTCTTGTTGCTTCGTTGAGATCGTGAGTCGCCTCTGCGCCCAGCCATAGAAAACATTCTGCGTGAGCTTCGCTGCAGGGTATGGCCACCCAGGGTGAACACCTTCAACAGGTGATGAGCCCAACGCCTGGGCCAGAAGCAACCGGAGCGGTGGCTTCTCCGGCCTCTCTGCCTGGAGTGCGGGGAGGCGGGGATGCACCGCAGACTACAGTGAATGGTACAACCGCCGGAGTTGGAGTGCCATCGCCCTCTGGGCTTGCGCAGCCTATTGGGGATGGAATCCAGCAAACTATGATGGATGCGTCGTCGGGGCCATCGACTTCCACAGCTGGTCCAGTGCCATCCCCTCAGCTGCCGCAAGAAACTGTTGGAACAGCCGGCCGACCGAGAGTTTCAGCAGTCGGTAGGACAGGAGGCGATGGAACACTAGGCCAGGTTGGAGGCTTGGGTACAGCTGGCGTTACGTATGAAGCAGTATCTACCGCGGAGGTCGCTGATGCGAGTGGGGTGCATGGAGATGCAACTGCAGTGACTCAGGGTTTCAGTGTGGCCACCGAAAGTGGAATGGCTAGCGCTCAGATCAATGTTGCCGCAGGCGTCTCAGGGCACAACCCATCTGCAGCGAAACCTGGAAGTAGTGCTGAGGGCTTTGAAACGCCCAGATCAACGGCGTACGGGGCGTCAGCGGTCATGCAGACTGGGGCTCAGGCTTTTGCTAGTCAGTTGCTAGGAAGAGTGCAGTCTCTGTTTGGTGGCGCGGCGAACGTACAGCCACTGCCGCAAGGGTGGGCTCCCAGTCCACTGACTTCTCCTCCAAGGCCGTCGCGGCCACTACAGCCCCTCGAGAGAGGAGGCCGCGTCCTGCAAGATGAGTGTCAAGTGCCGATGCCGTTGTTCACTGGTGCCAACGCGCAGCAGCTTGCTGCCATGGAGCAAAGGGCTCCCTTGCTCTACGGGTCTCCAGACAGGCATCCCCACACCGAGTCCTCATCTATTCCGCATGATGCGATTCAGGCAGAAGTGGCGCCACAGCTTGAAGGGTTGAAGCAGCGCTTGCGAAAGGAACAGGAGAAAACCGGTCGTGCTGAGGCTGAAGTCTGGAGGATTCAGTCTCAGCAGGCTGGTGGATATGAGGCGCCGGCGTTGCAGCAGGTGGGTGCTAAGGAGGTTAGTTTTAGTAGGTTTGGTGATAGTGGGCTTGGTTCGCGCACTGCTACAACGTCCGGGGATGCAATGACCCCTGTCCCTTCCTCAACTCCTCCTCCTCCTGCCGCTGAGCCTCAGGGTTTAACTGGTTTGTTGTTAGGGTTGTTAGGTGCCGGTACTCGGTCCTCTAGCTCTGGACACCAGAGTAGATCGAATGAGGAGGAGCAGGACAAGCTGCAGTTTGCAGCTGGCACTGGCAGGAGATTACAGCCGGGAGCAATCCCAGGCCGTCAAGACTTACTGCAAGCGTTGGCGACTGTGTTTCAGGCTGCGCTTCAGGTCGTGCAGGCAACACAGCACGCTTCGCACGCTTCAGGTCCTCAAGCTTCTCATCATTCCCTCCAGCTTTCAACCCAGGAGGAGCAGCCATCATCGCAGCTTCAACTCGCACTGCCAAGTGCCCCAACGCAAGACTCAACAACTGTTTCGCCCCAGGTTCTTCAAGGCATTTGTCAGGCAGTTGCCGCGCTGCCAACCAATCAGTTGTTTGATGCATGAGGTCCGCGCTCAAATGATGGTGCAGTTTAGAGGGAGTGCAGCCACCCCAAGGGTAGGCCTTGTGTTGAAGCCTTTTGCTTCAGCCACGCTGTTTTGAAAAGCACGTAGTGCCGCTCAAGCCAAAGAGAGCATATGTGCACTTGGCCCTGTGTTAATTCAGAGGTACAAGCCCAGGAGGAGCTGTCGTGATGAGCCAACTCCTTGCAGCAGCGAAAGCCGGTCCCCTGTCAGACCTTAACTGGTTTGGGTGACCCGAATTAATAGGTACTCGTAGTCCCGAACCTGTGTGCAGAAGGCCTGTAGCACTCGCTTGTGTGCTGGGGGTAAACCAGCCAGGCCACTCGAAACCCTAATTTGCACCCTACGTGCACTTCTATGTACAGTCTTGGATATCCTCGAGAAAGTTTTGTTTATTACTTATGCAAAACGGCAAACTGGACTGATCACCCAGCTAGCCTCTAGATCAGACTTGTTGGGTGTTTAAGGCGTAATACACCCTTAACCACCCGCAACTTGTGCCGCGTCTGCAGAGACCGCCACCGCACAGGTCTCTAAACACGCTGAGGTGCCAGAAGGTTCGAGGTCAGGCGAAGATGACATGCTGTAAATACGCAGCTTGTGGCGTCGCCCTGACGAGCGAGCCAAGGAGGAGGTTGAAAACGCTCCAGCATGTCAGTGATCAGCACTTGTAGTTTGCAGTTGTGGCTAGCTTTCAGGGCCCTTGTATAGCTGCTAGGTACCTGTAGTCTGCAAGTGTTTGTGCGCTGTTATGCTTCGGCTCGTAGGGGAAGGCTACGAAAGGTAAGCCTCTTGAGCCATGTGTACTGTAACCAACAACTTGTAAAGCTGTACTGGTCGTTTGTTGGTTTGTCGGTTCTCTTTTTGCTTCGTTGAGATCGTGAGTCGCCTCTGTGCCCAGCCATAGAAAACATTCTGCGTGAGCTTCGCTGCAGGGTATGGCCACCCAGGGTGCACACCTTCAACAGTTTGGGTTTACCTGTACCCCCAAACCCTGCAAAACAGTGGGTCATGACCCCTAAATAAGAGGGTCCAACCCCTAAAACAGTAGGGTTTGGGATCCCCAGGTAGGGTAATAGTGACTATAAGGATTATATAGGATTATATTAGGGCCCCTATTATATTCCTATTCTACCACTATTACAGGGTGGGGGCAGCTTCTAAGGCTTAGGGTTTAAGGCTCTTTAGGGTTTAGGGGTCAGGCTTTAGGGTCATCCGCGACCTGAAGCTTCCATTCTAGGGGTTCAAGAAGGCTTCTGTGAAGGTGTATATGGGAGCCTTTCTAAGGCTCACAAAAAACTTGTAGGGGCTACGGTGAGGTTTTGAAGCCTTTGAATCCAATGTTCGCACATAATGTCTTGTTAAGCTTGAGGTTTACATGGATACCTGCACGAGCTCAAAGCCTTCAGCCCCTACCAAAACTCCACCAAAAGTCCACAAGCTGTATCAACACCCCAAACCGAACCCCTAGACGCGAAAGCCCTCAGCCGCCTCAACTGAAGAACCCCAAGACCCCGCAAGCCTCAAACCCAAACCCCCGAAAAGCTCCAGTACTAAAAGAAAGGAAACCCTGAAACCCTGAAAAAATCCTCATAGAACCTCGTAAGGACCAGTGAACCCCCGGCACAAGAACACCCCAAGGGTCCAAGTACCCAATTATCATATACTCTCCAAAATAGCCACCTACATAACTACTATCCTAAAACCGAGTACCTAATTATTGGGTCCGTTGGACCATTAGAAGCCAACCACGGCCGCCTGCTGGTGGCGCCTTGCCAACCATACCATGCCCAATGCGATCCTGGCAGGGCTTCCCCTAAGCCCTAAAGATCCTAAACCCCAAAGTTCCTAAATCCTAAACCCCAAAGTTCCTCAAGCCTAAACCCTAAACCTAAATCCTAAACCCCAAAGTTCCTAAAGCCTAAACCCTAAAACTAAATCCTAAACCCCAAAGTTCCTAAAGCCTAAACCCTAAACCTAAATCCTAAACCCCCGGCTAAACCCTAAAGTCCCTAGAGCCTAAACCCTACACCTAAAATCCTAAACGCTAGTTCCCCAAAGTCCGAAGACCTAAAGCCTTATGCTGGTCCTGTGTTGACTCCATTCTGGGGCTCTCTTTTGGGTGCTTCACATAATGGAATCTCCGCAACTGGGGGGGCACCTTATGTGGGGGTCCTTATAATAAGGATCCTACTATTTAGTGTACTATATTAGGGGGGCCCTATTTTCGGAAACTCCCATCTTTGTTTTGAGATCTGTGAGGTCAGATGAGCCTCTTCGAGCGTCCCTTTGAGGGTTCCTTTACGGGTTCTATAAGGGTTCTATAATGGGTCCCTTTATGGATTTGTATAGTGCCTTTATGTGAAAAGGTCTTGCGGGGCCTTTAGTCATGGCTTCACTGTGCTTCGGGGTTCAAGGGCTATGGTTCAGCGCGTGGCAGTATAGGCTCCGGGTTTCAACTAGACATTCACTGTGTAAAAACGTGAGACCGGGGGGAAAAAACCGTGTCCCTTGAGGCACGTGGAATAAAAAAACCCGAGAGAAGAAGAAGGCTTAGGGCTTGGTAGTGCAAGTGCAGGCCTTAGGAGCGTGGGCTTTGAGCTAACTTGAAGGATCAGGAGACTTAGTTGGTAGGGTCATGTGTTGTAGTTGTGCAGAGTCGTACCCTAACCCTTACTTGAAGGCTCATGGGACTTAGTAAGTAAGGTTATAAGTAGGTTATAATTCGGATAACCCCATATAACCTACTTACTAAGTCCCATGATCCTCTAAGTAACCCCTAACCCCTAATCCCTATTCCCTAAACCCCTTAACCCATGACCAGTCCATGCATCCGAAAGCCTCAGCCGTTAACCGTGAGCCTTGAAACGTTTTAGGGTCTAGGGTGTATGGTTCGGGTAGACCCTAAGCCTTAAACACAAAACCCTAATTTGGATCAGGATCTATGTGAACCCTCCAAGACAACTTGCCTTGCTAGGGCTCGTCGTGTTGTTAATTATATGTACTTTAGGAGTCAGGGAATGTAAAGCCCAGGCTCAGTAAAACTGCGATCGGAATGAGGATCGCCATGAATTGTGCCACGCTCGCCTGCAATCTAAGCTTTGCTCCAGCTTTGCATGGTGGTTTTGGGCTTACGAAACCTAACCCCTAAACCCTAAACCCTAAACCCTAAACCCCTAAACCCTAAACCCTACACCCTAAACCCGAGAAACCCTTCTGGGTAGAAGCATTGGGGTTGCGGCGCAGGGGCTGTAGGCCTGTGGCGATCCCTGTAGCTCCCAGAGCCTCCAAAACCCCTTAATTAAGGAATATACCTGTTCCTTTAAAGGGATCTATAAGGGATCTATAGGGTTTAGGGTTTAGGGGACTCCAAAACCCCTTAATTAAGGAATATACCTTAAACTCATATTAGGGATCCTATTATAATTTAAGGTATATTCCTTAATTGAGGGGTTTTGGAGGCTCTGGGCTTGGCGGGTGCTGGGCCCATGAAAAAGTCATCTGCTAGACCTGCTGCTACTTGCGAAGTTGCGACTCCATGCCGCTTAAGTAGGGTTTAAGGCTTAGGGTTTAGGGTTTAGGGTTTAGGGGAAACCGCAAATGCCACCATGGTTGAGTGAGTTTCTGAGGAATGAGGAATGAGGAATACATGGCTTGGCAACCTCGGCTCTAGAACAAAAGCCTATATAGCATACACCTGACACCCTCCTGCGGTTGCAGTAGTTGGAGGACATTCGCATAGAATCGTAACTAACCCTAAACCCGAAATCCCGAACCCTCAAAGCAAGAAACCCAAGCCCCCACTCCTGGACGTGGACTGAACCCTGAACCCCGAACCGTTATCCCCAAAAACCTACCTGCTGGTTTTCAGGATTTATATAAGGAGATCCTCATGAGGAGTAAACACGTAGGATGCTTGAAGGTCCGGGTAACCCTAAACCCCTAACCCTCAACCCCTAATCCTTACACGAACCCTTACAGGATTTCTTGGAGGATCCCTGAAAGCAACCCTTCAATGGTCCCGAAACCCTACACCCTAAACCCCTAAACCCTGAAACCCTAAACCCTAAACCCTAAACCAGGAACCCTTAAAGGACAAAAGGAAGGTCGGGGGACGGCCCCGAGCCTCCGTCGACTCCTGGGCGCAGCTGACCTTAAAAGGCTGGCATTCCCCATCGTGGCCGCCGATGAAGCCTCTTGCGGAAGGGCTCTTTGGTTTAGGGTTTAGGGTTTAGGGGGCTTTTCGGGATTTAGGGTTTAGGGCTTAGGATTTAGGGTTTAAGGTTTCAGGGTTTAGGGAGGGCTAAAGGGTTGAGGCTCGCTTTTTGAGAGCCCTAACCCCTAAGCCGTAAACCTTAGAAGCTGCCCCCACCCTGTAATAGTGGTATGATAGGAATATAATAGGGCCCTAATATAATCCTATATAATCCTTCTAGTCACTATCACAGGGTGGGGGCAGCTTCTAACGTAAACCTAATTGTTCAAAAGGAATTCAGGGATGCCCAGAGTTTGGGTTTTGGGGTTTAGGCCTCGCAGCTTCGAGATTAGAATCCAAGGGTAAAAAGAGGAGATCTAGGTAAGGGTTTAGGGTTTAGGGGTTTAGGGGTTTAGGGTTTAGGGTTTAGGGGTTTAGGGTTTAGGGGTTTAGGGGTTTAGGGTTTAGGGGTTTAGGGGTTTAGGGTTTAGGGGTTTAGGGGTTTAGGGTTTAGGGGTTTAGGGTTTAGGGTTTAGGGTTTAGGGTATATACCCTTAATATAGCTAGCATATACCCATTATTTAGCCCATCATAGGGTAGGGGTCCCCATTAAGGGTCCCTCCTTCTCCCCTTTGATAGAAGGGTTCCTTTAAAGGGTTCCTTGAAGCGCTGCCTGTCAGGATTTCCATCAAGTTTAGGGCTTAGGATGTGGGGGTTTGGGGTTTAGAGTTCAGGCTCAAAAACGGCGTTAAGACCTGTTCAAAAGCTTTCCCTTGCGGAAAATGCCGCGCCACGGCTTTTCAAACTAGAAGCCCAACAGCCTGCTTGGAGCATCATGGGACTTCGTAAGTATGAGGTTATATGAAGCTCAAAAGTAAAATTACCCTAATAATCAGCCTAGCTACTACGCCGCATGATCCTTTAAGTTGGGAGTTAGGATAAGGGGACCCTTGGGCATATAGACCCTCTCAGCAAGGTCCCTGGAAAGAGCCATAAGCATATAGGGTTAAGAAAGATCCCCTTTAAAGGGGTCTCCCTACGGTTGATGATATAAATCCTGCATGACCCATAATAAGGAATATACCATAATTCCCAGAGTTTAGGGTCCTTAAGGTAATGCAGGATTTATATCATCAACAGTAGGGTTAAGAAAGGTCCCCTTTAAAGGGGTGTCCCTAGTACTACCTAGGACAAAGCCCCTCAAAGCCTCAAACCCAAAGCCTGCACTCCAAAGTGTCGCGGCAGATTCCGGCTCACCCTTCACGCCAGACCCAAAACGGAATCCCCAAAACCTACACCCTATAGATCCCTTATAGGAGCCTTTAAAGGAACCCTTATAGATCCCTCTATAGGAACCCTAGGAGTCTCTGAAAATTCAGCCCCGCCCTTCACGCCAGATCCAAAACGCTGTCGCCTATGCGCCAAAGGGTCATACTCCACATTTTTTGGGTTAAGGGTTAAGGGTTAAGGGTTTAGGGTTTAGGGGTTTAGGGTTTAGGGTTTAGGGTTTAGGGTTTAGGGTATGGGTTGTAAAACAGTAAGCGAATGGATGCGCAATGTAAGCACATTCTGCCAAGCCCATACTCTCAAGTGGCCTTCTTCGCAGACAGCGCATGCCTTCCCAGTGCGTCCCACCGCACAGGTGCTGTTCCTTGAGTTCCGGCATGTAGCGCTGATAGTTTGGGGTCTTTGGTTCAGGGTTACAGACTTGTGGAGTTTCGTACCAAACCCTAAACCTTAACAAACCTCGACCAACGCTACAGCATTAAGCAAGCCGTGGTTCTTGTGAGGGCTCCCTTTATGTGGACCCCATCATTCTGGAAGTGTTTATGGGCTGTTGAGGGTTTAATAGTGTAAGGTATATCGTGGAGGGCCTCGTTCCTAAACCCTCAACCCTAAACCCTCAACCCTCGACCCCTCCAGAAGCCTTCAAAGACTCTTGAACCCCACAGGGAGATCCTTAGATCCAAGCCTTCTACAAACCTTAAACCCCTGAAGCCCCGAAACCCCGAAACCCAAGACCTAGAACCAGGACCGGGTTCCTTCGAGGGTTTAGGGTTTAGGGAATAGGGTTTAGGGTTTAGGGTATTAGGGTTTAGGGTTTTAGGGTTTAGGGTTTAGGGTTTTAGGGTTTGGGGTTTAGGGTTTAGGGAATAGGGTTTTAGGGTTTAGGGTTTAGGATTCCTGACAAGGTGTGCTTCTTCAAGGTTCCTTTTGCAATGTTAGTGTTTACCAATGGGCTCCATTGTAGTTCCTTTTGGGGGTTCATAGGTAGAATCCTATGGGGCAATCCCAAAAGGAACTACCATGGAGCCTAAGGGTAGAAATGGGTGTCTTTCATAAAGTCCCTATCGGCTGTTTCAGCTGGTTCTCCGGTTGATGATATAAATCTTGCATTACCTTAAGGGCCCTAAACTATGGGAATTATGGTATATTCCTTAGTATGGGTCATGCAGGATTTGTATCATCAACCGTCTAGTGCTTCAGGGCGCTTCAAGCTGGCTTATCCGGCATGCATACCTTTTGCACTTGACTTTCCTTTGGTTAGTAGGGAATGGAAGAATGGTAATAATCGTAGTTATAGTTGTACCCCATTCCTCCATTCCCTACTAACCAAAGGTAAGTTGAAGGTGCATAGAAACATGTCTTCATCAATCGACCTCTCAAATTCAGCTTCCTTATCAGGACTTACGCTCTGAAAAGGTAAGTCATTTGGTAGTTCTCTAAGTTAGTGTCCCTTTCTAGGTGCCCAAGATAGTACGGCACCCTTATATAAAAGACCCTGAAAAGGGCCTCGAATTTATAGAACCACCCATTCGGGGTTAAAGTAAAATACCAGACAAGCAAAGACAGCGCCCCAGTTGGAGTCGAAAAAGCGTCGTAAAGGGGCAAGTGCTGGTGCTGAAGCAGCGGTAGACGGAGCCTGCGCCCGGGGCGCCGTGTATTTTTTATAGTAAGAATCAGAAGAATAAGAGTGCAACCCTAAACCCAGGGCCCACTAAAGAAGGGACAGTGTAACCCCTGCAAGGGAACCGAGTAATACTGGGGAACCCGTAAGCATATCAACCCTAAACCCAGGGCATTTTCAAGGAGGGATAAAGGATTCTAGGTGGACCATATGATAACGCCTTTGAAGGAACCATGTCCTGCGTGGGCTTATGTCGAAAGTAACCGACATGCTGCCCTGAACCCTGTCCCATAAACGTCGATAGAGAAAAGCCCATGTAAAGCCCTATAGAACCCCTGTACTCCCTCCCAACTCACCTTCAACCCTACTCGAAACCCATACGGCGGCGGTAATCTTTTTTAGCCAGCACAGACTTACAAACCAAAATAACTGCCAATTCCCAAAACCCCCTAAACCCGAATCTTATCTCGCGCCTAAACAAGTCACGATGAGACAGGGGTCTGCGCAATTTCGCCATAGTCTACAAAACGAATGTCCAGGGACGATAACTTCTTCAGCCCCCTCCATTACCCCTCAACCAAGCCTGGGGTTTAGGGTTTAGGGTTTGGCGTCTCATTTCGGGTCATGGACTTTGACTTTGACCACTTTGAGCGACAGCCTATACCCACTACTCAGAAAGCATAGAAGTTGGGCTGGAGAAAGTTGAGACTCGTCGAAGTGGTAGCCTCGTGTTGTCAAGAAAGCTGCAGCGCTAGCAACAGCTCTGTCGAGCCACAGCTCTGTCGAGCCAGCGTAGCCAAGCTGGGCCAATTATGTAAAACTAAATTACACCAAAGTCAAGCAACCCGTGTTCGTGCAAGCTTCGGGGTTCTCCTGCCGCCTGCCGCAATTTGATGAGCCTTGTCTGGTCGATGCGCCCCCAGCTGTTCCAACGCACCTCGAAGCACGCCACATTCGTGGCCCTCGGCCACCACCCGGAAACCCCGTTGATCCTTGCCTTTGCGTGCCCGGCTCACAAAAGCAGTCAATCTCATCAAGGCATTCACTCGTAGACGAGGACGCAGCTTCAGGAACCGCGCTTGGATCTTGATCCTCAGCTGCGGCCTCTGCATAGTCCTCGTAGGTACGCTGCAGCACGCCAGTACTGTTGTCACGGATCTCTTCAAGTCCTGACAGATGAGGGAACCGTGCCAAGTCCAGAGCGGCCTGAGACACATGTCCATCCTGAGGGTCAACATCATCTCGTTGGCAATGCCTGAACCGCCAGTGGTCGCCAGGAAAGGAGGTGCTGGTATCAACAGTTCTTCCCGAACCATATACCGGAAGGCCCTTGCGAAAATGGCCCTTCCAGCCATACACAGCAGCGCGAGTCGACCGCACTCGTTGAACTCCAGGAAATCAAGAAGCAAATTTGCCTCATGAGTCTCCCCGGCATGCCCGATCATGCACTGCGAAAAGGTCGGAACAGCATGTGGCGACCGCGGCGGAATCAACAACTAGGTCGTCGCAGAATCTCCAAACGAGGCCTTCGCGTGGGCAAATCGTAGAAAAAAACATCAGTTAAAGACACGACAACATCCTAGTGCGAAACGGTAGGAAGACAATACACACAGTCCTCAAGCTCGAAAGTCTGAGCCCCTCAACCAAAACCCAGACCCTAAACAACCCCTTCTCAAAAACACTGCCTGAAGCCCACTAGCCCCCTTCAACTTCAAGAAGAGGCTGTTTAAACAAACGCGTGCACAAACATCCCTCTTTACAAAAGACAAACATCTGTATTTTAGAAGAGTCCAATTTTCTTTGTAAGCCTAGATTTCCTAACCCTAAAACCCTGAACCGTAAACCTTAAACCCTACACCCTAAAACGCTGAACCCTAAACCCTAAACCCCAAAACCCTGAACCCTAAACCTGAAAAATTGTAAACCCTAAGAAAAGGAGCAGCGCCTTTGTCATCGGACCCTTATGGTAACCCTCTTATAGACCCCCTTTAGAGGTACCTTATTCTAACTGTCAAAGCCCCCAACCTTAAGGACGAAATGAACCCTAAAAGGTTTAAGGTTCATATACCATATAGGGATTCATGGTATATGGGTATAGTAGAAGCCCATTACATGTGGGTACTTCCTCTTCCATAGTACTCCCATATAAGACCCCTTTACCTTATAGGAGTGGTATGGAAGCCTTTTGGGAGACTACCCACCTTAAAACTACCCACCTGTAAATGGCTTAGATATAGGGCCCCTACTTTTAAGGGTCCTTTGGTCCTTCGGGAAAGCAGCGCCTTTGTCATCGGACCATTATGGTAACCCTTATAGACCCCCTTTAAAGGAACCTTACCCTAAACCCTAAACCCCTACACCCTAAAACCCTAAACCCCTAAACCCCTTAAACCCTAAACCCTAAACCCTTTAACCCCTAAAGCCCTAAACCCCTAAACCCTAAACCCCTAAACCCCTAAACCCCTTAACCCCCAAACCCTAGACCCTAAACCGTCTCTAAACCCTAAACCCTAAACCGTCTCTACCCTAAACCGTCTCTAAACCCCAAAGCAGCGCCTTTGTCATCGGACCAATGCCCCGGGATCAGCGGCGGAGGCTCGAGGCTCCTCCTGAAGAGGTTCTCCCAGCGGCAATCCTGGGGCATTCAGGGTTTGGGGTTTAGGGGTTTAGGGGTTTAGGGGTTTCAGGGTTTGGGGTTTAGGGGTTTAGGGTTTAAGGTTGAGGGTTTAGGGGTTTGGGGTTTAGGGTTTGGGGTTTAGGGTTTAGGGGTTTGGGGTTTAGGGGTTTGGGGTTTAGGGGTTTGGGGTTTAGGGGTTTGGGGTTTAGGGGTTTAGGGTTTAGGGTTGAGGGTTTAGGGGTTTAGGGGTTTAGGGATTTAGGGTTGAGGGTTTAGGGGTTTGGGGTTTCAGGGTTTGGGGTTTAGGGGTTTGGGGTTTAGGGGTTTAGGGGTTTGGGGTTTCAGGGTTTAGGGGTTTAGGGTTTAAGGTTGAGGGTTTAGGGGTTTGGGGTTTGGGGTTTCAGGGTTTAGGGGTTAGGGGTTTAGTAGGGCTTTCAGGGTTTAGGGTTGAAGGTTGAGGGTTTATGGGTTTAGGGGTTCTGGGGGTTTAGGGGTTAAGTAGGGGTTATGGGTTTGGGGCCTTCAGGGTTGAAGGGTTTATGGTTCCGTCCTATAAACGGGCTACTATTAAGGTCCTACTATGGGGGTTTCTGAAAATTAGGGGTACCTTATTTGGGGGTCCCTATAATCGGGGTCCTACTATTTAGGGTACTATATTAGGATCCCCCATTTTCGGAAACTCCCATAGATCTATATTATGTATATTATTCAGCGGTTCTCCAGGCGGCAATCCTGGGGCACTCAGGGCCCTGATTGAAGCCGGGACCCCAACTAACCTACTTGGAGGGTCGGGGGACTTCGTAACTGGTTGTTTTAGGGACTTATAAGTACCATAACCCCAAGTAGGGTCCCTTTTAGGGTACTTATAAGTCTACTTACTACCTACTTACTAAGTCCCCCGACCCTCCAAGTACCTATTTCGGCTTCCCTAATGATTTCTTTATCTAAGTCCTTATGTTAACAAGATAGGTTATGAGGGGTTAAGGAGGGTTTACCTGAAAAAAATGAATAATCAGAAACGATCAACCTGAATACTACCCTAAACCCTAAACCCAAAACCCTAAACCCTAAACCCTAAACCCTAAAGCTTGAGGAGTCCCCAAGGACCCTAAACGCTAAACCCTAAACGCACTAAACTTCTTTCGAACCCAGCAGAAGCCTGAAACAGCGCTGTTCGAAAATAGCTCTCCTTGCTTTCACTCTTATTGGCCCGTCATAGAACCCTGAAAGAACCCTCGTGGAACCAGCACAGAATCTTGATATCAAGTCGAAGGAAGCCCTTGGAGAACAACCAAAACAAATGAAAGCAGAGATCCTCAACCCCATACCCAAGCCCTAAACACCAAAAGATAGCGCAAGATGCCTCGAAACCTTGTTCGAACTGGGCCCCCAATACTAGACCCTCATCGCCACCCTTATAGGCGGGAATCTGTTCGCGACACCTTCCAGAACCTTAAAAAACCCAACAACTATCGACCCCTTAGCCAGGGGAATTTCTGAAACCCCTGACCCTTAACCCTGAACCATGAAACCCTTGACCCTAAAACCCTTAGACCCTTAAACCCTGAAACCCAAAACAATCCAAACTCCTAAACCCCAAAACCCTACACCCTAAGCCCCCTTCACCCAAAAACCCCAAACCCTATACCCATAACCCCTAAACCCCTAAACCCTAAACCCCTAAAACCCCAAACCCTAAACCCCTAAACCCCTAAAAACCTAAACCCCTAAACCCCAAAAACCACTAAAACCCTTAAAGCCCTGATGGGCCGAGGCACTTGGCCCTCGTTGCAGGGCACGCAGCCAAGCAAGTCGCCATCCCAGACGTAACCTCGGCTGCCCAGAGCCTCCAAAACATCCCTTTTTAAGGAATATACCTAGGGTTCCTTTAAAGGGATCTATAAGGGATCTATAGGGTTTAGTGTTTAGGGGACTCCAAACCCCCTTAATTAAGGAATATACCTTAAAATCATACTAGGGATCCAATTATAACTTAAGGTATATTCCTTAATTAAGGGGTTTTGGAGGCTCTGGGTGGCTGCTGGGTCTCCTTAAGGCGGGGGAAGGGGAGGGCACTGAACCCTAAACCCAGGGAAGTAAGTTACAAGTCCCCAAATATGTGTTTTAAGTTCCCTAATATGGATTTTAAGTCTTCGAATATTCGGCTGGATTACTATAAGGGTTCCTTTTAAAGGCATCTATAAGGATTTCTATAAGGGTTCCTTTTAAAGGGATCTATAAGGATTACTATAAGGGTTCCTTGTGAAGGGATCTATAAGGATTACTATAAGGGTTCCTTGTGAAGGGTTCTATAAGGATTACTATAAGGGTTCCTTTTAAAGGGTTCTGTAAGGATTACTATAAGGGGTATTATGGGGGTTTAGTATAGAGGCCTCAATAATTAGGATCTGCTGAGATCCTCTCCTTATAAGGCGCGGGAAGGGGAGGGCACTAAACCCTAAACCGAGGGAAGTATAAGGGTTCCAGGAAGGCTTCGAAAATCTAGAAGGGCAACTGCTTCTTCGGTGTTTAAGGTGTAGGGCTTCAGCTACTAGGGCTTGGAGAAGGGTTCTACCGGGCGGGGTTTCAGGGCTTAGGGGTTTAGGGCTTTAGGGCTTTAGGGGTTTAGGGCTTAGGATTCCGGGTTCGAGGTTGGGGGTCCAGGGTTTTGTAATTAGGCTTAGGGTTTGGGGTTCGGAGTTTAAAAGGCACAAGGTTGCAGCCAAGAAGCCGTCACGGCAGCCACAGTTGCCGTCCGTCACCTCTGAGGCATTACTTGCAGGCTCATGGGTCGTAAATCGTAGGATTCTAAGTCCCACCTAAAACTACCCAGAAACCTCCAAGTATGGCCCCGAAATACACCCCTAAGCCCGACTGTAAGCCCACCCTTCTGACCCCACTTACAACTATGAACCTCCAAGTAGGGTCTTGGTCTAAAAGGCGTCTGTGGAGGGTCGATAACTAGCATAGGGTTGGGGGTCTCTATAGTTATACTAAGGAACCCGAACCCAATTCAAATTATGAAAGCCCCTACACTCAGGTTCGTCAAAGGTGCTCGGGCTCAGCGGCTAAGGCTTTTTGAGCTTCGTGGTTCCAAACCTGGGTCCCTGAAAGGGAAGCCATGCAAAGGCTCATCAACATGGGTAGTTGTACTCTAAATTTTAGGTGCCGCATTATAATAAGGACCCCAAAGGGACCCTAATATTGACAACCACCACACATGTGAAGCAGATTAAACTAAGGAAGGCAGCGCAGTACTGGCCTTTGTGCTACAGTTCAACCCTACAAAAACCGTACAAAAACCCAGGAAGAACAGTAGGTTAAGCCCTAAACCCTCAACCCTCCTCAAACCCTATAGTAGTCTCTATATAAACCCAATAATCGTATCCTTAATCCATTCCCCCATTCCCTACTAACCACCAGACAGTCCCCTCAGAGAGAGTCCAGTATCCCTTATAACATTAAGGAGTATACCTTAAACTATGGTAGGCCCAATATATCCCTTAAGGGACTATCATAATAGGGATCCATTCCGCCCCTTTCCCTCATAGGGATCCTTAGGGGTGTAGGGGGAGGGGGGGTAGGGGGCCTTAAGGCCCATAATAAGGACTAATAAGGCCTATTTAAGGAAATATAGTCCCCTACACCCCTCCCCCCTACACCCCTAAGGATCCCTATGATATACCTATAGCTTACAGTAGAAGCACGGATCCCCTACACCCCTAAGGATCCCTATGATTCCCTCGCCTCCTGAAACGGCCACCCATCCGCCAGCGTCCGGCAGAGGCAGGCCGCCCGTCCGATTGAGCCGGATCCCGCCTGGGTTTAGGGTTTTTTTTTGTTTTTATGATCCAACAAAAGTCTCTTTTGAGACAGGCTCTTGAAGGGTTTAGGGTAAAGGGCTTAGGGGATTAAGGGGTTTAGGGTTTAGTGGTTTAGGGCTTAAGGGTTTAGGGTAAAGGGGTTGAGTGGTTGAGGGTCTCAGGGTTGTCTAGGGCTCTGGGTTTAGGGTTTAGAGTGTAGGATTAAGTGTTGTTTCGGGGCTGTATACATGCTGCATCTGGTTTTATCAGGGGCCTTGCATGGCTTTATGGTTTAGGGCCTCAGGGTTTACGAGAACCCAACGGTGCTGTTGAATAGCGCCCTTGCGGCACGATACCCAAAGCCTAAACCCTAGACCCCACGCTTTCAACGTAGAGGGTAGCTGCGGGGTGAGGCCAGGACCTTGGGGCAAGGGCCTCAGGGTTTGGTCCATTCTTCGGGATTTAGGAAGTTGTCGAAAGTTCAAAGAGCACAAATAAGTTAGGGTTTGGGGTTTGGGTTCTAGAGTTTAGGGTTTAATATAGGGGCCTTAATGACTAGAATAAGGTTTTGGAGCCCATTATACTATAACTCTAGTAAGGAACCCCCAACATAGTACAGGCAACTATTAAGGCCCCTTCTATGGAACCCCCATAGTAGCTCTTATAGTAATCTTCATGACCCCCTTCAAACAGGAGCCCGTAAAGGCCCCTATAGTCAAGGAGTTTGCCTTTGTACCCTTAGGGTTTGTACCCTTGATAATTGGGGGTGATCGAGACCCCCAAATCTAGGGTTACAAACGTTTAGAGTGCAAGCTTAATGTCTTTGATATACTGATAATAGGGATCCTACTATTTAAGGTACTATATTAGGGTCCCCTAGTTTCGGAAGCTCCCATGTCTATGGCTTAGAGTGGAGTCTTTGATATAGAAACCATTATAGTAGCCCTTAGGGTAATCCTAATAGACCTCTTCAAAAGGAACCCTTAAAGGCCCCTATAGTTAGAGCCCCAAAAAAGCACATAAGCAAAAATTAGGGTAGGGATATCCCATATAAACCCCCTTATAATGAAGCCCATTAAGGTAGGGATATCCCTATAAAATGCTTATGCTTATGTGCTTTTTGGGTCCCTAAATAAGAAGGTACCCCTAATTTTCGAAAACTCTAAACCCTAAACCCTTTGTAGAACCCTTATATAGATCCCCTTAAGGAACCCTTGTAGATCCCTTTGAAGGTATCCCTAATTTTCGGAAACCCCCCCAATAGTAGAGGTTGTCGAAGCCGCAGTCTTCTGGTAGACTTCGCAGGGCTGGCACTCGCCCTCCCGCAGCGAAACCTCGGCTTTTGGATAGCGTGAGGCTTCTCGACTTTAGGGGTTTAGGGTTTGTAGGGTTTAGGGTTTAGGGTATAGGACTTCAAGGGTTTAGGATTTAGGGTTTAGGGTTTACGGTTTAGGGTTTAGGGTATAGGGGTTTAAGGGTTTTTCCGTCTCGACTTCAAGAATGTAGGGTTTATAGGGTTTAGGGTTTAGGGTATAGGGTTTTGGGGTATAGGATTCAGGGGTTTAGGGTATAGGGTGTAGGGTTTAGGGGTTTAGGGGTTAGGGGTTAGGGGTTTAAGGGTTTAGGGGTTTAGGTTTAGGGGTTTTAGGGGCACCCTTCTGGCATAGAGAGCAAGACGCGCTGATATTGGAGCCTTCATCTGTAGATAAAGCATGGGATACAGTACTTATGACTGTAAGGGAATACTATTATTCTTGCTTAGTTCATCTACGCCGTGCCATAAGGTTTCATGCGGTGTCGATGGTGTTTCTGCAAGGCTTCTATAACCCAGAGGGTCTTCCATTATGGAGTTAGGTCCCAACAGACTTTCCTTGTTATGGTTTTGAACTGCTTGATAAGGGTTCTATAAGGGTTCAGGGATGAGGGTTCGCGGGTCGATATAGGATTTGGAACTTTACTGTAGGGGCCACAACAATTACCAATATTATTGTTAGGGTTCCTTATGATAATTATAGTATATTGGGCCCCAAAACCCTATTCTAAACCCTAAACCCTAAACCCTAAACCCTAACTACTGTATTAACACCCCATATATTATGCTTGCGGTTCGAGGCTTCTGTTTGGGGTTCAACAGAGGGTTTGGGCACTGGGGCTTAGGGTTTACTTGGAGGATCATGGGACTTAGTAAGTAAGGTTATAAGTAATTACCCAAATTGGGGCTATAAGTAGTTATAAGTATAATTACCCTGATAATAACCCTAGTTACCAAGTCCCATGATCCTTTAAGTAACCCTAAACCCTAAAACCCCAAAAACCCTAAACCCTAAACCCTAAAACCCTAAACCCTAAGCCCTAAACCCTAAAGGGGACCCCTATAACCGGGTTTAGGGTTAAGCACTGCGGGTTCATGGCATGAGACTGCATCGCATAGCCCCGAAGAAACTGGATGCTCGGACAGCCTAGGCACTCCTTCGGCAGTCGGCCAATAGTATCCTGAGCTCTCGTTTAGGGTGGAGGGTTTACGTAAAAGCCGGAAAGTTGGAATATGATTATCCTAAACCCTTTATGGTAAATTATAGGGTATCCTACCCTGAAACCATATTCCAACTTTCTGGAGTTCCCTTCAGTGTATCCTGAACTCCGATGCATGGGAGGTCTGGGGCTTGTACGACTTTGCTCGATTTTGGGCTCAACATCCTAGTGTTCCGGTACTTGGACTTTGGACTTTGGCGTCAGCAGCACGGTCCTTTCCCCCCAATCGCATTCTCCTACCATTTCTGAGGTGCTCCACGCCGTCCACTGACATTTCGGGTCCTTTGAAAGAAGACTACGTGTGGTTCCATGTCAGTGGACGGGGATAAGACCCCTTAGTCATCCCTAAACCCCCAATGAAAACCCTAAACCCTAAACCCAACCACAACCCAAAGCCCTGAACCCTAAACCCTGAACCCTAAACCCTAAACCCCAAAAGCCTAAACCCTAAAACCCTAAAACCCTAAACCCTAAACCCTGAACCCTAAACCCTAAACCCTAAAAGCCTAAACCCTAAAAGCCTCAACCCCAAGCCTTGAGCCCTGAAAGTCTTGAGCCTTGAACTAACCCTGAAACCCAAAGCCTATCGCGCACGAGCTCGACACACCAAAGCCCCAACCCCAAACCTTCAAACCTACACCCTAAACCCTAAACCCTAAACCCTAAACCGTGGATCTAAGGCTCCAAAGGTGGGATGAGGATAGGTGGGATGATCCCCTTTTAAGAGCCCATTTTGAGGGGATCTGTCCGTTTTTGAGGCCCCCGATTGTAGCACCCTAAACCCTAAAGCCGTCAACCCTCAACCCCGAAAGTCTCAACGACCCTGAAACCCAAGCCCTCAACTTTCAAACACACCCCCGGTTTAGGGTTTAGGGTTTAGGGTTTAGGGGTTTAGGGGTTAGGGTTTAGGGGTTTAGGGGTTTAGGGTTTAGGGTTTAAGGTTTAGGGTTTGGAGGTTCGTCGGTAGTTATAAATGGTATTAAGTAGGATAACTATGATTGTAACCCATATTTTTTTCATTCGCAGCGGTAGTGTCATCTCCTGACGCTCGCCTAGCAAACGGAATCGAATTCAGGTGAAACACGGTTGCTCAAGACGCCGAGTACATCCCGTGGGAGTCGAAGGCAAATCCACTGGCTTCGAGCCATGCCACAGCCGGTCCGAGTGCCTCAGCTAGTCCGGGGCAAGCAAGCCGGATTCGGCGACACTTGACATCCTCAGCACAAGTGGCACACATGGCAGTGGCCGCTTCCAACCACGTGCAGTAGGCCGTGGCCTGTCGCACGGTCCGACTGCAAGGACCGAAGGGCGGAAGTGTAACCGTTGGAGGTGGCTCGAGCGTCTTGAAAAGTGGATCGCCAGTTAACACACTTGGGATTCGGTCAGGGATATCCCAAACCTCAATGGCAGATCCATTAGCCGGAGTTCGCTTGGTTGCCGGCTGACGGGACTCGGCGAGTACATCCGGGTCTAGGAGAAGCAGCACGTTTTCTGCCACCTCAGCATGCCACGGGGATGGCCCACTCATGTCCTTCCACACTTGGACTGTACGTCGCAGAGTAGTGATGGGCTCAATGAAGCTCTCGACAACTTCAAACACCTCCGACTCGGGGCAGTCCTCAAGCTCCTGAAGCGCGGCAAGGAGCGGGGCTGAGACATCGTCAACTGGAAGGGAATTGCCCAGGATAGCATCAGGGTCGCCGATGACAGACGGGGGCGCCAGGGGGTGGCGAGGTGTCTTTATGTCCTGAGCAGTCGGGGCAAAAAGGCCCCAGTGCTCAACACAAGGAGCACTCGTCACCAGGTGTCGCCGCAGGCGACCCTGGGAAGCAAACGCTTTAGAGCATCCCCGGCAGATGTGATCCGTAGGGAGCAGGAAGGCTTTGGACCTATATCCATGCTTTCGAGCTGCATGGCCTGCCCAGGACACCAAACTGGGGAAACTGCGTTTGCATGGCACGCACATGTGGGTGTGAGCTTGCTCGCCAACCGGCGGTGGAGTGGGCGTTGTAAGGGAGCCAGCGGCAGCATGCAAGCCCTTACATAGGCCGTCGAGAGCAGCCCGGACTCGATACTGCGCAATGGTCAGGGCACGTGCTCGCCTACAAAGCCCCTTAAACCGCCCGAATTGTTTAACTATGTGAACAGCCCAAAAATCCCAATGTGCACGCGGGTTGGGCCAGTCAGTGGTGCTGTGGCACCACTCGTACAACCAGTCTAGGTCGTTCTGCAGCTGTTGCGTGTAGTCAGCATCAGCTCTGACCACAGCCCACAGGGAGTCTGGTCCCGCCCGCAGCAGCTGTGCAAGATACGATAACCGTGTTACCCGCAGAGTAACCGTGGCATCGGGCAACTGCAGAATGGCAAAGACTGTAGCTGCAGAAATACGCTGGTCATCACTCGGCTTAATGGCCAAGACACTGCGGTAGAAAGACCAGAGTGCACCTGAAAAAAGACGATATTCCCGCTTGGAAAGGGGAGGCCAGCTGCCTGCACCTTGGACAAGTTTAGAAATTACCGTCGACATCAGGATAGCCGCACGGCGGTGTAGGGCTATACTCTTCGCACGGAACACTTTCCGTCGGCCTTCAGCGAAGGCTCCTCGAGCTTGGCCGACTCGATAACGGAGCTCATCGGTCATACGACCGAAGGGTGACTGCAAGGTGCCCAAATGTTTATAGTTGGGTGGCAGCGGAAGGTTGGTGGGTGGCATATGCTCAAGGAGGACCGGGATGCTGCCGCGCACGCCATCTGCCCCGAAGAGTGCGCGTTTGGCAAGCCTGCTTTGAGCACCACAAGCGGTAACCACCGCTGCAGTTTTGTGGGCACCATACGACAATCGGAATCCGTGCTCAAGAAAGGCTTCCGTAATGGCAGTGGCCTCGCAACGGACTGCTGGGAGCAGATTGAGGGCGGTGCAGCATTTGGGCGTCGCAATGTCGTCAGCCCAAATCACGTCACCAATCTCAAGGTGTTCCGCGGCATCAGAGACCGGCTCGAGGCACTTACGACCGTCCCAGGGACACGTTGGGACAGAAGAGGGGCTCCGAAGCTCCCGGACAAGCTCAGTGCGCCGACGAAGTATGCGTGGCAACAAAACAGCAAATAGCACGTCAGCCCAGGCACTGCCTGGGCGTGTACCTCGAGAGGTACGTACCGGACGATCGTCACCGGCCAGCAAGAACCAATTTTGGGTGCTTATGCTAGTCGCCATCTGCTCGACCCAGGCAGACGCCCCTGCTTCGGTCAAGGCTGTGCTGCCCTTGATATGGTTGGCGACAGCTGCAAGGGCATCGTCAGGCAAATCCAGGGTACATAGGGCCTGGGAAACCTGCTCCGCAGTGGACACATCGTCCGGCGAGCCGGAAATCAACTGTGTAAGGGCACTGTAAAATGCAGCAGAAATGTCCGCATAAAGGACGAAACATGACTGCTTGCTGCGAGCTGCGACCCTTACTAGAGACCTGACGACATGGGAACCAAAAAATACACTACAGCCCTGCTTCCCACCAAGCTGCAACTGTGGAGCAGTCGACTGGTAGACATGTTTGATGGCAGGCCGAAGTGCCTGATGGAAGGCTTTAGCCCACGTGGCCATTAAGAGAATGGACCGAAATGAACCACATTCTTTTTTGCTGCCGCGACCCTTATACAAGGTAACTGCTTGACCGCCTTTAAAGCCCGCTGGCTCTGTGCCTCTCCACATCACCTTCAGCAACAGGGGGTAGAGCACCTGTGCGGAGAGGGTCGGGAAGAATCTGTTGAGCTCTGGCGGGATAGCGTCAAGACCTGGTGCCTTGGACACCTTTGTCGCGGCTAGAATCCGGCGCAATTCAGGCATGCTCGGGGCTTCAGTGATGGTCGAAGGGCCCAGCTGGGCCCGTGCCACGGGTGCGACTGCGGCTTCCGCGAGCTTGGGGAAAGTCGTAGCCGTTCCCCCTTCTATGCCAGAGAAATGTTGCCGCCACTGGCCACGGGCGGCTGGCGCATCCTGGCACGAACCGCCCTCAGGGTGTTCAAGGTGCGGCAGAGGTTCCAACCGAAACTTCTTTTTGCGGCGATGCATGAGGAGACGGTGCAACGCCGTGTAAGCCTCCTTAGTTGGAGCAGAGGAGATCTGACTGGCAAGAGTGGCTACATAACTATCTCTGTCAGCCCTGCATGCTTTGCGGAGTTGTTTGCATACCGCTGTCAACTCGCTCTGGGCGGCGCTTCGGGCAACCTCAGCGTTGGTTGACCAGGCGTCACCACGCTGCCGTAGAACTGAAAAACTAACTCCACTGGCCCAAGCTCGAAAGGCAGTGGCCTGGAGGTCGGCAACCATCATGCCCGTGAGGCGATGGAGGCGACGGCGGAGCTGTGCGGCCTGCCTCTGCAGTGTCCAGGTGCCCTCAGACAGATAGTGGTGGTGCGGACGTTTGTCCGCAGTGCGCTGCAACTGAGCAAGGCCCTTTTGGACATGGCTGGCAAGAATGGCTGCGTGCGCATGAACAGAGACTTGCCAAGATACCGATGGCGCAGTCTCCAGCATCCGCTCGACGGCAGAGCGGTTCTCTGGGTCGCACAATGTGGCGACTGCGAATTGTCTTTTGCCAAGTGGGTGAGCAGCCGCCTTGACACGCAGCCAGCCACGAACAGAAGTGCAAACTGCCACGTGGTCCGGGGTGGCATGTGCGGCGTGAATAGCTGGCTCGCACCACGACTGAACCTCATCCCTCCCGAACTCAAAAGGAATGGCCAAGTAATCCATTCGGCAAGGAATTTTGCCGTTCTTATGAACGTACGTGTGGGTGGGCCCATGGTGGTACTTGTCGAAAGTGGCTGGGATGAAAGTCTGGGACACCCGGAGAAGTGTGTGGAGATGTTCACCAGACAAATCTTGCTCATCCGCTGCAAGCGGTCCGACGTGTTGGGAAGTCAGACTTCCCAACGCCGCATTCATATCGCCTCCGATGAGTACC